AAAAAAAAAAAAAATGCTGTACAGAGGGGTTAGTTACATTAGCAAGGTAATGAGTACATTTCCTATTGAGCATTGTTGCCTCCTCCTTTGTTTTCCCCCTACCATCCCTTCCCTCCCACCTCCACAACTACCCCCCCATACATATAATTTTTGCATGTATGCTTATAGTTTTATACCAAATCCTCTTCTCATCATAGATGATTGGGAAAAAAAACCCAGAGGGATAGAAACCACCAAGGACAATCAAGAGAACAACTCTCACAGTGGCTCATGCCTGTAATCCTACTACTCAGGACACAAATTTGAAGACCACAGTTCAAAGCCAGCCCAGGGAGGAAAGTTTGTGAGACTCTTTATCTCCAATGCTAGATTATTAGACTTTGCCAAAGAACCACACAGACATCCAGGTACAGAGAACAAAGGAAGGTTTATTGCCAGGAAAGGGGCCAGCAAGACACCTTCTCACAAGGGAGAAGGGAGAAGCAGCACCGGCTACTGTCTGACGTGACCTATGTAACTAGGAGGTTTAGGAGGGGGTGGAAGGGGCTAGGAGGCAGAGACCTTGGTGTGGATGTGTGGGCCAGGGGCTTCATCAGGATTCATGGCTGCTATCCAAGTAGTAAATAAGGGGTCCTCAGCTGCCCAGACCTGAAGGTCAATTTAAGGGGCTCCTGTTGCTTTATATGGTGGTAGCTGCCCCAGAAAAATGCCATCCCAAGTTAGGGAGGGTTGGAAGTTATTTACTGCCTTTACTTCATGGGCCTCCTGTTACCTAGGAAGAGAGCATGCCAAGCTGTGGAGAGGGGAGGAGTGAACTAAGCTGTGGGAAGGGACTCATTTCACTAACAGCCAATAAACTACCAAAAAGCCAGAATGGAGCTGTGGCTCAAGTGGTAGAGCACAGGCCTTGAGCTGAAGAGCTGAGGGACAGCACCCAGGCCCAGAGTTCAGGCCCATGACCAGAAAAAGAAAGAAAGAAGGGAACAGCTCTCAATCAGTATATAGAGGGTAATGAGGACAAAGTCACAACAGAATGTCAGAGATCAGTAGCAAAAAGATCCTTGGGGGGGGGGGGGAAGATCCTTGGGAAATCCTCAGATATTTAGAAATGGGATAAAACACTTGGATCAAAGAATAATTAGCACATATTTTGAACTGAATAGAAATAAAAAGGCAGAATCTGGAGGAAGCCTATAAAATAGAATGTCTCTATTTAGAACACCAGAAGAAGAAAAATGAAACAAAACAAAAAAGTTACCAGTGTAGAAATCAATTACACTTGAAAATAGAAAGGGGAGGACTGGGAAGGTGGCTCAGTGGTAGAGCGCTTGCCTTGCATGCATGAGGCCCTGGGTTCGATTCCTCAGTACCACATAAGCAGAAAAAAAAAGCCAGAAGTGGTGCTGTGGCTCAAGTGGTAGAGCACTAGCCTTGAGCTGAAGAGCTGAGGGACAGCACCCAGACCCAGAGTTCAGGCCCACCACTGGATCCCCCAAAAAAAAGAAAATAGAAAGGGGAAAATCATGAAACCAAACCTGCTTATTGAGATAATCAACAAAATGGACCAGAAGAAAACACACACACACACACACACAAAACAAAAAGACAAAAAAAATCACCAATCGTAGGAATGACAGAGGTGAGTGGCATCACTACAGGTTCTACAGACAAGAAATGTAAGAGAAAGTATTAGGAATGAATTTTTACAAGGTAGGCAAAATGGAGACTAGATGGCAGGACACCAGTTACTGAATTGTACTAACACAAATTTATTGAACTGCACTAAAGAGGATATAGATAAATATATGGCACTTAGATTGAACTGACACCATCTTAGCTTTAATAGCATACAGTAATTAATTGCTCTTATCAGTTCTATCCCCTGTCTTTGGGTTGCTATTTTATAAATTAATATTTATAAATTTCATACATTTGTAATTATTGCTTCATGTTTTTGTTTTTTGGCTGGTCTGGGGCCTGAACTCTGGGCCTGGGCGCTGTCCCTCAGCTCTTCAGCTCAAGGCTAGTGCTCTACCACTTGAGCCATAGTGCCACTTCTGGCTTTTTCTGCTTATGTGGTGCTGAGGAATTGAACCGGGGGCTTCATGCATGCAAAGCAAGCACTCTACCACTGAGCCACCTTCCCAGCCCTCATGTATTTAGTTTCAAATCATATAAAAGACTGTAAACAAAAAATGCAATAAGCTTTTTATATTTACTTATGTAGTTATCTTGGCCAATAATCTTTTTTTTTTTTTTTCTCGCCAGTCCTAGGGCTTGAATTCAGGGCCTGGGCACTGTTCCTGAGTTTCTTTTGCTCAAGGCTAGCACTCTACCACTTGAGCCACATGGGGCAACTTCCAGCTTTTTCTTTTTCTTTTCTTTCTTTTTGGTTGGTCATGGGGCTTGAACTCCAGGCCTAGGCAATGTACCTCAGCTCTTCAGCTCAAGGTGAGTACTCTATCATTTGAGTTACAGCATCATTTCGGGTTTTCTGGTGGTTAATTGGAGATGAGTCATCAACTTTCCTTCCAGGCTGGCTTTGAATCACAATCCTCAGATCTCAGCCTCCTGAGTAACTAGGATTACAGGCATGAGCCAAGGGTGCTAGCCTGGCTTTTACTTTTTTTTGTGTGTGTGTCCGGTCGTGGGGCCTGAACTCTGGGCCTGGGCACTGTCCCTCAGCTCTTCAGCTCAAGGCTAGTCCTTTACCACTTGAGCCACAGCG